ATAAATGTGTGTACATATATATATATATATATATATATATATATATATATATATATATATATATATATATATATATACATAATATAAACGTGTGTGTGTGTGTGTGTGTGTGTGTGTGTGTGTGTGTGTGTGTGTGTGTGTGTGTGTGTGTGTATCATATGCATATACACATATGTATATGTGTATATACATATATGTATATGTGTATATACATATATGTGTGTATGTATATATATATATATATATATATATATATATATATATATATATATATATATATATATATATATATATATATATATATTATATGCATATACACATATGTACGCATATATGTTTATATATAATTATGTATTATATGCTTTATATATAATATATACATACATATGCGTGTGTATATATGTGTATATGTGCAATATATATATATATATATATATATATATATATATATATATATATATATATATATATATATATATATATATATATATATATATATGGGGATATGTATATATACATATACAGCTCCGTATGCATAAACATACACTTAACACAAACAACACTTCAAATACTAGATAATAACAAATGGTAAAGCATAGTAAACAATACACCAAGATACAACAAAAATTACAAGTTCTGGTACAGGGAAGGGCAGGAGGGTAAAGTGGTGGACTGTGGGGATGATGGCCTTTAAGCTCTACTATCATAAGGGTTATTTTCCCTCGTCTTGGCAGGGTTACACTATTTACGTTTAATTTTTACGTGTTTTTTTCTTTTTTTTTCTTTTTTTTTTCTTCCCCCACACAGTCTCCCTTTATTATATTTTTTTTTGGCCTTGCTACAGCAGCGGGTTTCAGGCGAGGCTGGACGCACGCCCACGCGGCTCCACCGTACCCACGGGCGTAGGTATGGGCGTGGATGTGGGCGTGAGTGAGCCTGGCCTGTAACCGTAGCTCCGAGAGTCTACAGGTGTTGTGGTTGTAGGCAGTACGACGAGGTGAAAGGGAGGGGGGGGGGGGTAGCTGAGAGGGAGGGAAGGGGGGGAAGGGAGAGGAGGGAAGGAGGAATACATCACATATAAAAACAAAGAGGGCGTGTCTTGAGAAGGGGGAGGTGTGAATAAGGGGTGGAAAAGGGGGGGAAGGGGGGGGGGGGCACAGAGATTACTCCAGGGGCAGGGTACAACGCGTGAGGGATATATTTACCTCTCCAACCTGGGCCGGGCATGGAACACAGAGAGGACGCGTCACCAGAATACACATCAGGAGTGAGTGTGTGGTCTCCTCTTACCATTATTAATGAAGACTACGCTCACCAAATCATATCATATAATATATATATGTATATAGAAACGAGCATTATTTCTTAACTAAATGATTTGTGAGTTCGAGTCAGAACTGGCTGGCCAATTCCGTCGACGTTCCTTAAAATTACAATCAATCTACGAAATATATAGGCTTAAGTGCTAAGAATTTTGTATCATTCATTTTCCTTAAACTTAATTCAAGACTTTTTTTTGTTAATTGGGTCTCTTTTTTAATCGACAATTGTTAATATATATATTTTTTAAGTTTTGGCATCGCAAGATGATTCTCAATTACAACAGGTCTATAAAAGAAAGAACTGGTAACTGTGACTTTCCTCTAGTTAAAAAAATCTTTAAGGCTGCATACTGTATTTCTTGCCTTAATGTTTTGTTTACCATATTTCTAAATGAAATATCAAATTCGATAATTAAATGTCAACAGTGTTTACTAGGATCTGTAAATTTATCCAAAAAATAAGACTCCAAAGGTATTACTTGATCAAGCATGTATTCACCGATTTAACTGTTATTTAGGAATTTAATTATCAGTTACCTCTTTTTTAGCTGTCAATTATTACTTTAACTGACAGTCCCCACTACAACTCACAACTAAACTGCTAATTAAACACTGAATTGACAATTACCTTCTTCAACTGCCAGTTACCACTCTGATAATTGTTACGACCCAGTCCCTCTTGCAAAAGAAAACAAATAATGCAACCAATCTCCACTCATAGAATAGTTCTGGACAGTCTGCAGCCATCATCCCACGATGCGCCGATATAAAAAAAAACAAAAAAAACTTTGCATTTTTCTTTTTTTCTCTCTCTCTCTTTTTAAATCAAACAGCGCTTGTAAGCCACAATCGTAAAAATGCAAGGATAGACCACAATCTTAGGCAAAAGATATAACGACAGAATTCGAATCCAATGCTTAGCTCATCTCTCGAATCTGATCACATTTTATAACCTTTTTTTTTCTTTTATCTTCTTCAACCTTCTCGGTAGAAGTAAGAGGAGCCATCACCAAATAAATAAATAAATGAAAATAATAATAATAATAATCAAAGCAACAGTTGTTTTCATAGCAAGCGGTCAAATGCACGTCCACAAAATAAACAAGATATTTATTGGTAAGTGTGGAAGCTGCCCCATGCGTCTTCGGTAAAAAGGAGCTTGGGCGAGAGAGAAGCTTTGAGCGGAACGAGAGAACAGAACGTGAAGCCGAGACGAGGAGAGTCACAAAGCAAAGTCATCATTATTATCATCATTATTATCGTCGTCATCATCATCATCTGCATCGTCGTTGTCGTCATCATCATCATCATCTGCATCATCATCATCATCATCTGCATCGCCATCGTCATCATCATCCTCATCATCTGCATCGTCATCATCACCAGCATCATCATCTGCATCATCATCATCATCTGCATCATCATCATCATCATCATCTGCATCGTCATCCTCGTCATCATCATCATCATCTTCATCATCATCATGAGTTATTTTCTATAGTAACCCTTGACTGATTTCCTCTTTTTTTTACGTTTAAGTAAATAGAAATAGATATCCAACGGAAAAAAATACCTTTACTTTAATTTCTGTTTATGTTTCCTCTTCTTATCTATGCTAGTTATCTCTCTGCTGAGTAATTTTGAAAATTTTGATATTAAGATACTGTTTCAGGTAAATTTAGGTCCCCTTTATTCACTAGGAACTGTTATAGCTCTAATACTTCTAACTTTTAACCCGTATCAGTTTTTTTTCATATATTTTAAATGTTTTTTTTTTCTACAGATATATTAGATATCATCCGTTTATTTATTAATTCCTTAAAAAGAGGAACAGATCTCTAATTCATTCTCTCTCTCTCTCTCTCTCTCTCTCTCTCTCTCTCTCTCTATATATATATATATATATATATATATATATATATATATATATATATATATATACGCCTCAATTTATCTCTTAAAATTTCCCTCAGTCCATCCCTCAATCTGTCTCTCAATCTGTCTCTCTCTCTCTCTCTCTCTCTCTCTCTCTCTCTCTCTCTCTCTCTCTCTCTCTCTCTCTCTCTCTCTCTCTCTCTCTCTCTCTCTCTCTCAATGTATCTCTGTCTCTCTCTCTCTCTCTCAATCTGTCTCTGTCTCTCTCTCTCTCTCAATCTGTCTCTGTCTCTGTCTCTCTTCCTCTCTCTCTCTCACTCTATCTATCTTCTCCTCTCTCTCTCTCTCACTCTATCTATCTTCTCCTGTCTCTCTCTCTCTCTCAATCTGTTTCTGTGTCTCTCTCTCTCTCTCTCTCTCTCTCTCTCTCTCTCTCTCTCTCTCTCTCTCTCTCTCTCTCTCTCTCTCTCTCTCTCTCTCAATCTGTCTCTGTCTCTCTCTCTCTCTCTCTCTCTCAATCTGTCTCTGTCTCTCTCTCTCTCTCTCAATCTGTCTCTGTCTCTCTCTCTCTCTCAATCTGTCTCTGTCTCTGTCTCTCTTCCTCTCTCTCTCTCACTCTATCTATCTTCTCCTCTCTCTCTCTCTCACTCTATCTATCTTCTCCTGTCTCGACTCCGTGCCCGTGAGCCCCGCCTCGCCTCGGCTTCCGTTGTGTGGGTGGAAGAAATATAGCAAGCACTGTTGTTTTAAAGAGGCCACTAAGGACCACCCATAGATATACTTACCAATATAACCTGCAGCATCTTTTTTTTGTGTGTGTGATACATTGGTTAGAATGAATAAATGACATTTTTTTCTGATTTTTTTTTTTAGAATATAAAAAGGGGGGAATGGGGGGTAATATCTGCACATAAATCCAACATAAATAACAAGAAAATGTGCAAAAGTAAAACAAGTTTGTCCTTGCATGTTTTGATAAGACGAATTTGGAATTTGGAGTCTGATAGAAGAAGAAGAAGGAAAAATAAGACAAATAAATAAATACGAACAATGAGGATCCCTCTAATATATTTTTTTCTTTCTAACACATGATAGTGGCCGATCACTGTCAATGGCGGACCACCTGGAGTGTTAATATCTCCATTTCCGGTTTGTGTCGTTTTGCTTTACATATATACAGCAAATTTATTTTTTTTCCATGTTTGTGGGAAAAACGACAAGGGAACAAGTGAGTGGGACTGGCTGGACTGGGGGGCGGAGTGAACGAGCTAGTGGATATTAATACGGCGGCAAAACAATCAGTGTATGATATATATTAAATATGTATATATATAAATATACACAAATATATATATAAATGTATATATATATACATATTTGTTTATCTATCTATTGAGAGTAAAAAGAGCTCTTGCATGCAAAGACTCTCAGTGGCGCTTGCCTTTCGTGTGATCGTCTCCATCTATGTTATTATTCCTCAATTTGAAAATCAAAATACTATCCTCCCATCCAAAAACGAAAGCAATATTCCCGAATATCCCCTCTATACACGTATATATATAAACAAAGACCGAATCCCATCCCAACCACCCAAAAGTATCCTCAAAACGGAAAAAAAATATATGTAAAAGAAAACGTCCCCCCACAACCCTCCCAAAAAAATAAAAACAACCCAACACCCCCACAAACTCAATTAAAAAAAAAGCCTATACAGAGAAACGAAACCCCCCCAAAAAAGTAACCCCTTGAAAAAAAAAAAAAATCTCTCTAAACTCGAACAGAAGAAGCCCTGAAAACACTCACCCTTGGGTAACGTGCGAAACTCGATGGTGGTGGAAAGGCGGTCCTGGTTCCTGGTGGCCTTCTCGTCGAACTGCGGCGCCCGGAGGTTCTTCGCCCGGATGGTCACGCGGTAGGTCGTGTTGGGGGAGAGACCTGCGCGAGAGAGAGAGAGGGGGAGGGAGGAGAGGGGGGGAGGGGAAAAGGGTTCAGGGGAAAAGGTGCAGAAGGGTGGGGGGGAGAGGAGGAGGAGGAAGAGGAAAGGGTGAGAGGGAGGACGGTAGGGAGGGGGGTAGGGATGGAGGTAGGGAGGGGGGGGGAGAGAGAGAGAGAGAGAGAGAGAGAGAGAGAGAGAGAGAGAGAGAGAGAGAGAGAGAGAGAGAGAGAGAGAGAGAGAGAGAGAGAGAGAAAGAGAGAAAGAGAGAAAGAGAGAAAGAGAGAGAGAGAGAGAGAGAGAGAGAGAGAGAGAGAGAGAGAGAGAGAGAGAGAGAGAGAGAGAGAGAGAGAGAGGAGAGGGGAAAAGGTGTAGAAGAAAGGGAGGGGTGAAGGAGAAGGTAGAGGGAAGAGAGAGAGGATGGAAGGAAGGGGAAAAACAGGGGGAGAAGGGAAAGAAAGAGAAGGGAACAGCCATGAGTGACATGGTGTGCAATGCAGGGGAGGGTTATGCAAAGGGATACACGAAAGGAGCCAAGGAAAGGGAAAGAAAGAAAGAAAGAAAGGAATGAGAGAGAGAGAGAGAGAGAGAGAGAGAGAGAGAGAGAGAGAGAGAGAGAGAGAGAGAGAGAGAGAGAGAAGAGAGAGAGAGAAGAGAAAGAGAAAGAGAAAGAGAAAGAGAAAGAGAAAGAGAAAGAAAAGGAAGACAGACCAGAGAGAAAGTGATAAAAAGGAGTAGGAAAGAACAAGAGAAAGAAAAAAGAAAGGGATTCAGTAATTATCTGCATACTACACTACACTATAGCACAATAATCCAATCCCAACAATTAACCACGTAAAACAACACGCAAACAACTAATCAAGGAAAGGAAACAAATCACATCATTACACAAAAAAACACTTAAAATTAGATACAAAAAAACACACCCTCCTTTCCAAAAAACAAAAAACAAAAACAAAAAAAAACACGAATACAAAACATTCCCCCCACCCCCCACCCATCCTTCAAAAAAAATATATACAACAAAAAAACACCCTCCCTCATACAAATAAATGAAATACACAACCCACGCCTCCTAACCTGTGATGGTATGCCGGTACACGCCTGGCTTCACCGTCCGAACCTCCACGTTGTTGACGCAGACGGTGTGCTGGAAGTTGGAGTTGGAAGGCAGCCAGGAGATGACGGCGGAGGTGGAGGTGATGGAGGTCGCCTTGACGCTCGTAGGTCCCAAGGGCGCGTCCTTCCCAATCACCATGGTGCAGGCGGCGTCTCGGGAGGTGCGGCGGTTGGGCGTCACCGAACGCACGCTGATTCGGTGTAGCTGTGGGGCGGGAAATGGGTTTTAGGTTCGATGCGGTTTTTGGGTTGGGGGTGGGGGGAGTAGGGGGTTCTGGTGGGGTATGAGAAGGTCTGGTGGGGTATGAGGGTGTCTGGTTGGGTATGAGGTGGTTTGATGGGGTATGGTGGGGCTTCGTGTTGTGGAGGGAGTGTGGGATTTAGTGGGGTATGGCGCGGTTGGTTTGGGTTTGGCGGGGTATGGTGGGACATGCTGGAGTATAGTGGGGTTTGGTGCTTTTCTGTTTATTTATTTATTTATTTTTCTTTTAGGGGCGTTGGTGGGAGCAGATGATACATAGTTTTTGTGCAAAGGAGTTTGTTGTTGGGAGTGGGCGATACAACGGGGTTTTGATAGAACATGGCGAACCTGAAAGTCAATTCGGTCGTTTAGTGGCGTTATAGTGAATTTTTGGGTGGGGTTGGGTCTTGTTTAGCGGGGTTTAGTGGGGGCTTGGATCGGTGGATGTGATAAAAGGAATGAGTGAAGTGGGCACGGATAAGATGTTGGGTTTTGGTGGGCATCAAAAAGATAATTTATCAAACTCGCATGCCGACTATTTAGCGTGAAAATAACAGGCTTAGGGATTTGTGATGATAAGGGGATACAATTCTAAAAATATATATCAATGAACTATTTGAACGGATAAAATCATAGGCATAAAAAAAATTGAAATGATAGGCGCTATGGATGATCAAGGGGAAAGGATAGTCAGGTAGGCTAGTGTATTCAGCATGGACGTAAGGAGAATGTACAAAGACATGCCAAAAGCGGAACAGGCTTGACAAAAACATGTCGATGTGCGCCTAATAACGTTACAGTGTAAAAGGGAGAGCGCAATGTATTTACACACTGAAGGACAACAAGTGAACGTCTATAATATAACGGTTATACATTTTATACTTTTGAATTCAAAACTGTAGGATCAAATATGAAAGTAGGGAGAGATGTATTATGTAAAATATATAACTTATAGGTTACTCCAAATTTTGCACTTCAAGATTAATCAAGCATTAATATATTTTTTTTTA